CTGAGTTCTTTGTTCGCGATAATCATAACTAATTCTTTTGTGTCTGCTCGTATTATTTTTAAATTTACTGTAGCTGCCACTCATCAGTAAAAATCCGTCACTCCTCGCTTGCCGTCATTAATTTGAACTGAACACACGTCACCACCAGACAGCGCCTTGATTCATCATCGGTAAAACCGAAAAAGCGTCGCACGTTCTGCAAATCTAGTAACTTAAAACAATCCAAGTCTGGACACAGTTTTACAGCAGGATACTCGGCTGCCAGGACTCTGAACCGGAAGTGATCCGCGCCACTGGACCGCCATCTTGGTAGGCAAGAGCAGAGATGAACCATGACATTGAGACCAAATAAGTGAAAGTAGTGATTGAGTAATAGTTGTAGATAGGAAGCTGGTTCTAAGCTTGTGGTTTGTTTGTTTAATTTTGTCATAGCATCCCCACCAACCTGGCTGTCATCTACAAAGTTCACAGGAGTATATTTTTACGTCTAGTTAAGTCAAATGATTTTTAAGTAAAGGATCTCATATTTGGGTATAATTTCTGGTTACTCCACCCACATTTGCTTGAACCAGAAAAAAAATCTAATACTTGTATTAATCTAACTGAAACCAACCATCTTGGGCAAGAAGAGCAGAGAAGAAAGCCATGGAAACTCTGGAGGAGCTGCGGAAGTCCATGGCTCGGGTGAGAAGAATCTGTTGACATGACTACCATTAGTCGGTTATTTTTTTATTTGGATTTAGAAACCGTTTCCCTTCAATATAGCAACTCTTTCATCACAAAATAATCGTAATAGAGTACATTGGAGTCTGTGGTCTTAACATGTCAAAAAAGATATCCAAACATTCTGAGTTTTGTACATTTTTGAAAAGAACGGCATGCCTGAAGCAGCGATAAATGTTTTCAGATATAATTAGGAGCGTTCCAAATCCATTCAGCAGATTGATTTACCGCTCTGGTTGTCCCAATTATTCACACACATGCACAACAATCATTATATATTTACTCATCTAACAAAACTCTGCGTTATAAGTGTGACCATTTAGATCCTGCTACCACACAGAGCAAATATGTACATTTCATGCGGCTGCAAGACTTTCTCCCGCTCCAGCAACAGCTACCCAATTCATGTTTTGGATTGACGCTCATACCTTGTGGACGTAATAAATATGTCCAAAACAGCAGATGTAGGGATCAAACGTGAAACTCAAATGTGGAGGAAAAGATGACGAAGTTGTCTGGCGATGCGTATGTACATCTGCTTGCACCGTATAAGCAGTGTGTTTCGGAGGAAAACTGGCTCCAGTGGAACCGGTGCCGATGCGTGGTAAATCAGAAGAGTGTTGCATCACCAGAGTTTTGACTTCAGATGCGTAGCTCATCTGATTTAGTGACCGCACGAGAGCCTTCAAGTTAAGAGCCCAAAACCATAACTCCGCTTACTGACCTACTTTTTATTTTAACTTAATTTGAATTTTATTTAAGAGCATCAGAGGTGGATACAACTGTGCCCCACATTTCCAGTACGAGAAGTTCCTGCCATCTGTTCACGGCAGGAAGATCGATCAGACGCAAAAGAAAAATGGAAAGTACCATTTGGAAATCCCAATGTTTCTGTGGATGTTTGTTTTAAACAGTTTGCATGAAGATTCGGTCGGACCGACGGTCAAGATCCTGAGCTGCTCGGGTCGACACAGATATTACCGAACCTTTGTCAGACGCATTGAATTCGGGCCATGTTGGCATCCTGTGTTTTCACGTCTGTTTATTCTGTGCTCCTCGGTCGCTTTCTCTGTTTGATGAGCCTTGTTTTCCTTTAGTGATTCTTGATTACAAAGTTCATTTCTTGTGTCTAGTTAATTGTTCTTTGTTCCTCTAGTTTAGTTTTTTAGGTGTAGTTATTCTTTACAGTCCCCCTGTACCACATTCACTCTCCCAGTACTTAAATACTTCTGCTCCTCTCCACTCCTTGCTGGTTCCTCCCATTAGATCCAGCTCTCTGATCGCCCCCCTCATGCTTTTTGTTCGCCCTTGTTGTTTTTTGTTCTCCTCTGGCTTCTCATGCTTCCATCAACTTGCCGCCTCCGTCTGTCTGCAGTTGGATCCACTCAACAAGGACGCGCCACATCACTGCCCTGTGTGGAGAACGTTAGAAGGGATTGTAAAACAAAAGTTTCATTCCTTCTCTTTCTCAGAACCTAATGAGCGTTTGGGCTAAATCACTTAAGGGGAGTGCTGACTTTAACAGCGGACGTTTTCTTTCTTTTGTTGACCTACGCCCTTTACTTTAGCTGGGACTTTCCACACACGTCTTCTATAGCGAACGTCTTCCTAAGGTACATTATTAAAGACGTGACCCGCCTCCTCCCAACTCGTTGATAGATCAGCTTTGCCGACTCAAAACAAACATGTTCTTGTGCAAACGGAGGCGGGAGGCCATCATGTGCTCGATATTATCTGTTTATGAAGCAGGGAGACAGTGGTCCTCTATGTTCCTCAGCAGCATCCTCCCTCCCGGCTGTTTTGTGTTTCTAATGGAGCTGGAGGCGCAGTGCACAGGACGTCTCATCGTCATCATCATCATCATCATCATCATCATCATCATCATCATCATCATCATCATCATCATCATCGCTGTGCCTTCAAAAATAGAAGAGAACATGCTCGTACCGCTCTCCGTGATCCTTATGGAGTCACTTAATGTGTGTAGGTAGCAGTGAAAAAAAACAGCCTCGTGACTCATCTGGTCAAAACTAATTCAATTTGTGAATTAGTCTTGAAGAGGTGAGGAGGAACATTATGATGAGTTTTGCAGGCAGGGGGGCAAAAAAAAAAACAAAACACAACGACCAACAGACAGGAACTAAACGATGTGTTGGGGCGCCCCCTGCTGGTCAGAGTGTGTAGATGCTGTGCAGAGAGGCAGGTGTGCTTCTGATGCAATTAAACTTAACATTATTAGCCTCAACCGTAGATTGAGAACTTGTTCTCAGTTTAACATTGAGACTGGCTAAATGCCGCCATTTTGTACCAAGTTATAGTAATGTTCGGGGAGGAGTTTGTTTTGTCTGCGTCTTCCCGGATGTTGGGTTGTGTCACGCTCACTGCCTGTTGCTTATTTACCTTGCAAACACAAGAGCGGTGTCAGTTATGTCACCGGAGCCAAGACAAAGAAGTAAAAGTTACACTTGTCGTAAATGATGTTTGACTCTCAGTTTCTCCTTCCTTCTCAGAGGAAAGCCTGTGAACATGAACAGCTTCAGTGACTGAAGGGACGACCGCCGTCTTCTTCCCCAAACTCTTGTCTCTTCATTACAAAATCTCGAAATCATGACATCATACATTGAACATTCCTGTGTGCAATCATGTCCAAGTGTCCTTCTGTTGTGACAGCGTCAAAGGGCCAAATCAAAACAATTCAACACATTGAAATCTCACAGATTTACATAAAAAGAACATCAATTTCTCAAGTAAAAATGTTAATGCGATACTTTTACTAGAGTACATTTTTGTCTGTGTAGTTGTGCTTTGAGTACTTTCTCCACTGCTAACCCGTGAACACGAACAACTTCAGTGAATGAAGGAGCGACCGCCATCTTCTTCCCCAAACGCTGTCTGTCCACTCTGGGCCTCCTGATGAAACGCTGTCTGTATCTTGGTTCCTTTTTTCTTCCTTTTTGATTTAACATGGTATTTCTGTCAATCTCAGTCCAAAAAAACACATATACAATACATTGGAATACTAACAATTTATGTGGTGGCTTATACTCTTAAGCAGATTTTCCTGACTATATAAACAAGCGATGATTTAAAGCTCCCACTTTATGGTTTGTCACACAAGCAAAACCTTCTTTCAGTTACTCAAAAGGTTCACTTCCAAACCCTGTTATTAGTTTTAATAGTGTTTCTGTTGTAAGAGGGAGAAACGACATAGTAAACATAGATACATGAGATGAAATGGTGTCTTGTCTGTAGGAGCCATTTATCCTCTCCTGTATTTATTGCCACCAGGGGGCGTATTTCATTCTGAGTTCTGAGTGTCTGATGGGGGATGGGGTTATTTAAGGTCAACCATGATTCTGTTCAGGTTGACCTTAACAGGCAACAATTTTCTACTGTGCTCAGTTTGGGTTAGACGTCAAATTTGTGGTTTTTAGTGGAAATAGTGAAACAATGGACAATGAATCTCAATTGAGTGCGTGTAAAACCAACGCCTTTCAGGAACAACAAGCAGTAGTATAAAATATAGGACTTTAGCTGCTACATATGATGGGATTTCTAAACGGATGTAATGAGGAAATAAGAGTAGGAAAAGAAAAAAAAGTTGAAAGTGAGCAGACTGCTACGTTTTGGATCAAGTACAATTTTAATCACCCATGGAGTTAATGCTTCATGTTAGCTTTGCAAAGTGTTAATAATTGAGATATTTTAAAATAATTTTCTCATTATCTGGTGTAAAGAAAGTTCTTAGAAGACTCAATCGAAGAATATCTGGCAGCCAGCAGTTTCTATGTTGGTTTAGTCAGGGGTTCTCTCATCTGTCTTTTCACAAATAAGTGAAAATTAAACACATAATATGAACTTAAATTGTTGATTTATCTACATTTATATGATAATCATTTTTATGATCAATTTATCCACTTTATGCTCCTTTTATACACAATATCAGTTTCTGTTCTAGCTGTTTGATTAATGTTTTTTTCTTTGCTAAGGTATAGATGTCAATTGATGCATAAAAGGGTTATTATGGATTTTTTTGTTTTCAAAGTGAGATTCTGAGGTCATTGTTTCCTAATCTGTAGCAGAATGTCATGTAATCCTGAGATCTTTGAAGGGCAAATAAGTCATTCCTGTAGTACTGGAAGTTTAACAAGCTAATCTTATCAAAATAAAAGTAAAAGTTGAAATAAACTAAGGCAGTTTTAAAAGCTTTAAAAACATTTGTAAACTGACAAATCACTGAATGTAAACACTGCGGTGGAAGAAAAGGGACAGACATGTTGATTTAGCTCCATGATTTATTGTCTTGACGTTGTGTTTACTTCCACAGTATTTTACAAAGACGGCACATGTCCTTCATATGTATGAAACAAGACACATTCATGACACTCAGGGTTCAAAGCATCTGTTAAAACATTATCCAGGACACATTCCTACAATGATATGATCATACACTAATCTATGAAGTACAACAGGTTGCTGTTTATTGTTTGTATGATATTATATAACTAATTTAAATAAGCACTCTTTTGAAAAATAAATATCCATTTCAATGAAACCTGTCTTCGTTAGTCTTATAACCTACTGAACATTTAATACTCATGCGGTACATTAACCCAGCAACAGTTGTAAAAAATGTTTGTCTTTGTTTTCCTTTCATGTTTTTTATGTTGCTTTCATTCCCTGCTTTAACCAAAGACCCTCTGCTTGTTCAAAGATCCGCCGGGTATGCCGGAGTTAAGCCTTCGACCTGGTTCTGGTTCTCCCTGAACTCTGAGCTCGTGATGTGCTTCATCTTGGACGGGCGACGTATGGTGCTGTTTTTTATCGTGTGGCGCAAGGAGGACAGGCGACTGCGGAAGCTCTCTCCGGAGAAGAAGTACAGCATGGGGTCAAAGCACGAGTTGCAGGCGGCCAGGCACAGCGTCACCATCACGGACTTATGCATGAAGTTCTTGTCATCGCAGGTCATCGTCGTGGAAAGCAGACTCAGGTGGATGGTGCGCTGTATGTGGTACGGCATGAAGCTGACCAGGAAGGTCAGCAGGACGATGACAATCATCCTGATGGCTTTCGAAGCCGAGCTCTTCTGTCGACGGACAGCCGGGTTGCGAGAAAGCAGAGTGCGGACTATTCCGGCGTAGCAGATTAGTATAACCAGGAAGGGCAGGATGAACCCCAGCACTAGAGCAAAGTAGTTCAGCGCCTGCAGCTTGGGTAGACGGTCACTGTTGAATTCCGGTGGCTCGAAGCATTTGGTTTTGTTCGACTTTGGGTCGAAGGATTGACCAGACATGAGAAAGGGTGAAGATGCGAAACTGCTGAAGGTCCATATCCCCACACACACAAAACGAGCGCGGTTCACCGTGGCCACCCCCAAGTTCTTCACAGGATAAACTATAGCCAGGAACCGCGTGACGGACATGGCAGTCATGAAGTAGATGCTGCAGTAGAGGTTCACGTAGAGAAAGTAGGAGCTGATGCGGCAGAGGAAATCCCCTTGCTCCCACTGACCTTTTCGGACATAGTAGAGAACCCGCAGAGGCAGAGTCATCACGCACAGCAGGTCGGACATGGCCAAGTTCATCATGTAGACGTGAAAGGGCGAGATCTGGCGGTACGTTTTGATCAGCACGATCAGGGCGAAGCCGTTCCCCACAAACCCCAGCACCGTGATGAGGGAGTACGACGTGGAGTAGACCTGGTTACGGAACTCGTCGATGGGGGGGCAATCGTCGGTTCTGTTTCCCACGCCGTCTGTCCCGTTTGAGTATGCCATGTCTTGTCGCAGCTTGACGAGACAGAGGGGAAGACCGTGGGATAAAAATCTGCAAAAACATGTAAGCGAAACACACAGGTAGAAAAAATACATTCAATAAGAGAAGCTGTTCTGATGAGATAGACTGACTTAGATATGACCTATTTTGAGCAGCTGTGCATGCTCTGGAGGAAACAGAGAGCAGATAAGCATCTTTAAGACTGTCATCCTGTCATGTGACAGATTTTATCAAAGCAGGAAAGGCAAAAATTACTAATATCTGCTGCACAGGTTTTGACAAATGCAATCCTGTCAGTCAAAAGAAATTGGAAAATAGCAATTTGTCAATCTAAAACCAACACCATCACTGGGGATAAAATTATTACTTGAAAACAAATACAGACAGACTAGTTAATGGAAGATTTTATTCATATGTTTATGATATTATGACACGCTTCAGAGGAGCCAAATTCTTAACTTGAGTATTATAGTTTTATAAGCTCTTAAGGCTTTGTTGAAGGTTGTTGTTCAACAAAGCACTGCTGTTTTACAAGCAGGCATTGTAAAGTTGCATAATTGTGATTTACATGTAGGGAGAGGCCTCTTCTGTCTATATCGTGTACAAAGACGATAAAATGAGAACAAATCTTGAGTTGGGTACTTTGGCGGTTTGTTTTTTATTCGTCTATCAGAAACTTTAGCTGCTTCTGTTGAAATACTGAAGATGAATAGTTTGAAGGATGGGAAGAATTTACCAATTGAGGACTTTCTAAAAGTTTGCAAAACAATTTTAATATTAACAAGGCAGTTTTAGGTTGGTTTTACGCCTGCTGTCTCCTGATTAGGGGATTAGGATTTGATCTCCAGTCCTTATTGTTTGCTGAAATGTCTTACACACAAATGCATTGATGAGTGAAGTACATCAGTTTTTAGTATTTTATTATTTTTTGAATTTTGAGACATCTCTTCATCTGCTGTCGATGTCTTTAAACTTGTCACTTCTTCTTTTGTCTTCCTCTTTTCCTTATCTAAGACTGACACTCCACATTATGCTCACATATGCTAAGTAAGTCATTGAGTCAATGGTTGATCAATTTCCTGGCACCATTTCAGGTTATTCGCAGTGTGCCGTTTAATGTCATTTTTAAGCTGTTAAAAATGACAGTGGTTGGGGGGACAAAGTGGCTAAAATGTGAAAAAGAATATTTTTAAAAAGCTGTTTTTTCTAACAATGCACCAATTTTTAAGTTGAATTGTCACATTTTCTTTCCTCCAGGTATTTGGAAATACATGAAATTCAGACATCCTGGGAAAAATATAATAAGAATGAAGAAAACTAGTCGGAATTGTGAATTCAATGTAAGAAAAACTAATTTATCCTAACTTTTGTTCATACATATTATCTTGCCATATTATGCATGCGATAAAATGCAAACATTGTAGAAGACAAAACAAAATTCAAAACAAAAGATGCACACTTAAACAAACATTCCTGGTCTCGTTAAGAAGGCAGAAAGTGCAAACAGCCGGACAAAAACTTTCTCCTTCATCAAATAGGGCTTTAAAAAGGTCGTCCTTACCACCAACTTTCCAACTTTCTGTCCTGTCAAAGCAGGTCCAGATGAAGGTCCAGCTTCAGAGTGTCCCCTCCACCACTTCGCCTCATCAGCTGCGGAGGAATGAAGCGCTCTCTCCTTCTCTCTTCAGGCTCTCAGCTGTTTTATGTGTTTTTCAGCGTAGGACCAGTCTGTCTCCTCAGCTATGCGGTGCAAGAACCCAGTGACATCACAAAAAGCCAGACAGTGCAGCAAACACCTAAACCGGTGAGAGTGAGGGGGGGAAAAAAAAAGGAAAAAGAAGAAATGAGAGGTGCAGCGGTGCAGAAGGTTTTGGTTTCGGTAATGGCTCTTTCAACTCTCCATCCTGCAGCCGTTTGAATGCAGCTTAGTGCAGCTCTGCTTTTTATGCACTTCTTGATGCGTCTTGAATCTGTTTCCTGATAACTCCCCCTCTCCGTCCCTCCCTTCTCCTCACACACACACACACACACTGAAGACAGGACACGCAGGATTACATGCAGCGTGAACTCCGTCTCTTCCTTATGAGTCCTCTCATGTTTCTTGGTCAGATGTTTGCTCTCTCATGTGCAACCTGTTGTAATGGATATCCCCATATTTACAAAGTAGTTTGTAATACACAGTCGAGCCGACGTGGCTTTTGCCAAGGCGTGCACTGAGAAACGGGGACAACACAACCGGACTATGACGCCTGGAGAGCCAGCGAATCTGCACTGACGATTAATTTTTATTCACTGCATAATGTGAGAAGAGTCTCTGTCGTGTCTGGCATGACTACAGTGCCTTGTCTGGACTTGTCGAGATCTGAGGAAACTTGAGCTCACACGAGGATGTGTTTACACATATATACACAAACACACTTAGGCTAAACTCAGTGATGTGCAGTATTTCCTCTCTGCATTGGTAATGAGCATCATTTGCAGTGAGTTGATGGCGTTCGGATACGCCAGTGGAAATGGATGGCCTAAGGACAGCCTGATGATGCTGCTGTAACTCGATTTTAATAATTCAACCCCAGCGACCCCAGGAGGCCAAAATAAATCGCCGGTGAAAGCGGCGTGTCAACGCCAGCGGGTCTCAGAGGCTCCTGGCTTCACTATGGCTGGCCTGTGCATTAAGCTCGTCTCAAGCGAGAGCATAAAGTGTTTTGACCCCTTCTGCGAGTTGATGAAAGTGCATTTGTATGCTTTTTGAGTCATTCTCTATCGATTCCTCTGAACCTTTTAGCAGTTAATGAATACACACTCGCATACACGTGTAGCGTAGCGTTAGCTTGCTGTTTGAACTTTTGCAAAGTGGACTTGCAAGTTCCTTGGAATCCTTTAAAAGTCACATTTTAAAACAGTTTATAATATTGTGATTCATGTATGCTGAAATTGTCAAATCAGATTTAATAGCATTCCTCTTTTTTCAGTAAATAAATCTAAAATGTATTGGTCCATGGTGAGATGAAATTCGAGCTTTTACTGGGTTCTAGATTGACAGTTTTTTTTTTTTTTTTTACTGGTTGGACTGGAGCAACACCCAAATTTTTACATTCCAATTTCACATTGCAGTTTTACAGTTTTTTTCTATCACTGTGTGTGAAGCTAATATTGACTTAGTGATGAATCAACAATCTATCAAACATGAAGTTCCTTGTTTGAAGTTGAATTTTTCAAGACAGGCAACTCTTGGGAAAACAATGAAAGTGTTTTAAAGTTCTTCCACGAGACAAAATGAAAACTTAAAAAAACGGAAAAAAAAGAAAAAAAACTTCTGATAAAATGCAGAAAATCTAAAGGACAACTTCAGAAACGTGGAGCGCTAAGCCTATTTTGCACGTGTCAAACTGCACGTTTTGTAGACATTTTTCTGAAGAATTATTTCAGACTTCAATTTACATAAAAGCGGAGTTACTCTTTTGGAATATTAAATGCGTCATTGACAATTTGCCACTGAAAGGAAGCAAGAGAGAGGCGTGGATCCAGCATTTCTAATGCGTTTTATAAATGCATAGCTTCGTCAGAGTTTCACTTTGTAATAATGCATTTTGAAATGCATTATTACCGTCCCGCCCTCTCGAAAGTAAACGAAGTGCTCCATATTATTGACTTTGCCGTGAGGCAGCAAGGAAATCTGGTCGGACTGTCTTCATGAGCCGCGCTGGGCAGCCATGGGGTCTGTAAGTGGTTCGTTTACGTACACGAAAGTTACGTTACGTTACGTTACGTTACAAAGGCAGCCGTTAGGTCGAGTGCGCGCACGAGGACGAGGAGAGTGACAGCTAACATGCTACAGCTTAGCAAAACGTCGTCTTCTTACAATGACGGGGTTTTTGTGTGTTTTTTTTTTTGTGGTTTTTTTCGCCCCCCCCCTCAAAAATCTTTATTTTAGGAAGGGGGTTAAATTATTGTTTGTTTCGGGGCATTTGTAAAGATTTTCAAACAGCTTTACCACATTTCCTCGCAGGAAATATCTTCATCTGACTGGCCTAGCAAAGCTTAGCATAGCCTAGCATAGCATTGCCTACTCACCTCTCTGACTGCTGTACCTCTCATCTGAGTGAAACAATACCAAGTATTCTTTTGTTTAGTTTCTGGTGCAAATACCTTAGTACGCTTAACATTAGACTAAACTAACTTACTAGTAAAATTTCAGCAAAAAATATTAGTACTACTGGCATATTATTAAACTTATAATGAAACATTTTCCCATGTTAAAAGTGAAATAATCAGCCAGTAGAACTATATTTCCTTTTTTAAATCAATATTAAGAAGTTACTGAATTAAACAAGCTCCTGTATCTTGCCGAAAGGTTAATTGTAAGTTAGTTTTGTCTCATTTAAAGTAAACTAATATGTGATGCACTAAAACCTAGACACATAATACTTTGTGACATTTTGGATTGCTGCAGAGCCTTTCACTATTTCTGATTGGTTTAGACCAATGTATGTATGTCTACTTTTGGACCACTTCAAAATGTGGAGATGTGTGTTTTTTATCCTCAAACGACCGATTTGACCTCAGAATTTAGGAGTAATCAAGCTGTATTTGGGATTAAACTGGTTGCATTCTCGAGCACTAGCTCAGCTCGGCACCAGCTCGAAACAGATTTTGATTAATTACTAGATTGACGAAGGTGTCATACACATGCAAACTCAAGAGTCTGGTTTATTTCTAGCTCTAAAGAAAGTGTTTTTTTTTTTAACTGAATATCTCCACAAACAAACCTTAACACATAGCATGCACAGGAAACACAATTCTGACATTTACAGCACAAGAACAAGAACTTGCCGCAAATACAGAATCTGAGATAAAAGCTTTACGTGTTTTGTAATGACATCAAACAGAGATCAAAGGCTGACCGAGTCGAGTGGAGTTTTCAGAGATGCTGTGGATGCTTTGTGGATCATAATTGCGCTGATTTGCAAAATCTAATAATGTGGGTGGAAATTGGAGATACTTAGTGTGCTAAGTGCATTGCCCCAATGAGGTTTCTGATGAAAACCACAGAAACTTGGTTTGTTTAACTTGTCTAATGTAGTCAACTTGAGTCCACACTTCCAAATTATATATATTTTTAAAATGCTGATATAGTTAAGTAATAAATTTTAGTCAAAATACATAAAAAGTAAATTTTCCCTGATTTGTACATATTATCACCTCTGAGTTTTATCTACATTGTGTGAAAAATTATTTTTTTGGTAATTTAAATTACCTCATCAAAAACACACATGAAGAGTTGCTTTGAATCTCCCGTGGCAACCACTGGGGGTTGTAAACCTGAAGCGTTGTTGTGACGATGTTTCTGAAGGCAACGATTTCGAAAGAGCAGGAGCTTCTTAAAGAGACAGAGGCCCAGTTTCAAGGCATTAAACTGCGCAGTCATTTTCTTTCATATCCTGTTTGATACATACAGCATTTTTGTAGAAACCGAAGGCGACATAGTTACTTGACGTTGCTATGAAA